GATGAATGCATTTTCGTTATGGAGACTGTTCCATGTGAACTCTTGTCCTGTTGATTTGACGAGTATAAGGTAACGTCGCTAATTAGGGTGGAGAAAATTAAGGGCGTTACACTTCTCAACCATATGGCAAGCACAAACTGTAGCAGCAATGAATTCAACTTCAATAATGGAGATTGTGACTACGGGTTGCTTCTTTCATGAAACAGCTCCTAAACGTAGCAAAAATGAATAACCCAAACTGTAATGGTAGGCATTGGTCCCGTGAGGATTTTCGAAAGGATTTGACTATTGCAAAGGAGTCGTCATCATCATTTGTTGCTGCTGCAACATGAAAGCTTGCTGTTGGTTGACCATGGCTGCCATTTGTACAAAAAGGTGCAGTCACCACATTCGAGGAGAAAAAGGGATCATGGATTGTCTGTTACATCATGGCACCGAGCATTGGAACTAGTTCCCATGGATTGTAACACACATTGATTATTTCTTGTAATTGCATCATCATATAAGCAGTCTAATGTAAGCAAGTCCAACCCTCAGGCCAATTTGCTTGTAGCAGCTACACTTTCATTTGAGCTTGGTGCCGTAACAGGTGCAAATTCCCAGCCTGTAGTTGTAGTACCATTAACTTGGTTTGGAACCGAACTGGTTTGTTGGTCGGCTGATGTATTTTTTTCTATCCTTCAAATCTCCTACACAATCACTATTAGTGTAGCAAAAAGCTCAGTATTACCATCTTGCTCGTAGAAAGTACCATATGTATGTGTCCCTTTTATGTAAGGGAGCACTCTTTTAATGGCTTGAAAATGAATTTCTATAGATTTAGCCAAGTACGTACTAAGCAAACTAACAGAAAACATGATGTCAGGTCTGGTAGATGTTAAGTACGTTAAGCTTCCTACAGTTTGTATGTACAAAGTGTTGTTGACAAACAAGCTAGTAGAATCCGTAACAAACTTAAATCTAGGTATAATTGGATTGTATACAGCATTGCAACCGGACATATTAAATCTTTCCAATACTTCCTGGGCATATTCTTTTGACAAATGAAAATACCCTCAGCTCATTGTGATACTTCTAAGCCAAGAAAATATCGCATACATCCAAGATCGGTCATATCAAATGCCTTCATCATGGATTCCTTAAAAAAAAAAACTCAACAAAGCTTCATCGTTTCTAGTAAATATGAGGTCATCTACATAAAGACATACAAGCAAGAAAGTACTTTGTAAAGACTTCTTGAAAATCAGAGTATGTTCATAAGGACATTTTTCAAAACCTTCCTTTAGAAAACAAGTTTCAATACGATTGTACCACGCACGTTGAGCTTGCTTCAAACTGTATAAAGCCTTTTTCAAGTGATACACTTTATCCTCTTCTCTTCAAAGTGTATAAAGTCTTTTTCAAGTGATACACTTTATCCTCTTCTCCCTTGATCACATAACCAAGAGGTTGTGCCACATAAACCTCCTCATCCAACTCTCTAGGAAGAAATGTTGATTTAACATCCAATTGAAACACCAATTGAAACACTGTCCACCTTTTTTGAGTGGTTAGAGCAAGTAGCAATCGTATAGTGTCCATACGAGCTACAGGGGCAAAGGCTTGTGTAGTCCATGCCATGTTGTTGTGTATATCATTTAGCGACAAGTCGAACTTTGTATTTGTTGATTTCTCCATGTTCATTTAGCTCCGTTATGTACACTTTTTTTTTTTTTTTTTTTTTTTTTTTTTTTTTTTTTTTTTTTTTTTTTTTTTTTTTTTTTTTTTTTTTTTTTTTTTTTTTTTTTTTTTTTTTTTTTTTTTTTTTTTTTTTTTTTTTTTTTTTTTTTTTTTTTTTTTTTTTTTTTTTTTTTTTTTTTTTTTTTTTTTTTTTTTTTTTTTTTGCACCATGAGAAGGATCAGTGAGATCCCAAGTATCATTTTTCCGTATTGCTTCAATCTCAAAATTCATGGCACATCGCCAGTTGGCACTTTTTGCTGCATCTCATCTTGATCAACAAATAGAGCAAAATTACCTTGATCATCATCATCAAAGTTCTCTCCACTCTCATAGTCACGCATCCAAGTTGGAGGGTGTCTAGAGTGTTTGTCTGTTGGTTTAGAAATAAGAACAGCAGTAGGATCATTAGAGGGATCAACAACCGGATAAGCAATTATGTGTTCTTCTAATGTGTATTGCTTTGAATTTTCTTCATGAAGGTCACCAACTGAGTTGTTTGTGGCTTCAATTTTGTCATCATGGTGGCTATCTTCGTCTGTATCACTTCAGTCAAAAGATACTTGAATTGCTTCAGCATAACTGTCATCCCATGGCCAACTCTCCTCTTCAACATATGCCATGAGAAGTAGTGGTTCAGAAGCTTTAGCAAAATGAGCTTGTGATTCTTTTCTCTTCTTTGGACATTCATACTGAAGTGACCAAGGTCGTGACAATAAAATCACTCGACAAGAATTTTGTTAAAACCTGGTCTCTCACTCTCTCACGTCCTCATCCTCTATCTCGAAATGTGCCACCTCCACGATTTGTTCTTCCTATACTGCTGTCAAGAGTGATCTTTAATGCCTGCTCTTCCGTAGTATGTCTTTGCATACGTTGTTCATGAACCAGTAGACTACTCTGCAATTCATCAATGGTCATGATGTCAAAATCGTTGGATTCTTCAATGGAGCAAGCCACGTAATCAAACTTTGAAGTCATGGAGCGCAGGATTTTCTCAGCAATGCTAACATCACTCATCTTTTCACCATGGAAAAGCACTTTATTAGCAATGTTGAGAGTATAAGAAAAGAAATCAGAAACAATCTCACCTTCCTTCATATGGAGGGTCTCAAAGTCCTTGCGCACAGCTTGTAGTTGTGCTCGTTTCACCTTTGTATTTCCTTGGAATTTTTTCTTCATTGAATCCCAAATTCCTTTGGAAGTTTCTTTATCCAAAATAGTCTCCAGAATTGAGCAATCGATGGCCCGGGAAAATTTTTTTTCATTGAATCCCAAATTCCTTTGGAAGTTTCTTTATCCAAAATAGTCTCCAGAATTGAGCAATCGATGGCCGGGAAAAGATAGTTCTTAGCTCTTAAGTCTGCTACCTAGTTCTTTTGTTCATCTGAGTAATCAACATCATCTGCTACAGCAAAAATTCCAGAATCAACTACTTGCCAATATTCTTTAGAGTGAAGAAAGTTCTCCATTAACATGCTCCAGTGATCGCAGTGACCAAAAAATTTTGGCGTTGCTTGTTGAACAAAGCTGCCTTCGATAGTCATCTTTAATTGAGTGGAAAGAGACAAGGCTCTCATAATTTAATGGAGATAAGTTTGCAAGGAAGGAAATTCAGTGTTTTATTATGTAAAAAATTACTATATTTATAGCCAGTAACATGCAGAGAGCAGAATATCACGTCAAAATAAAAAGAAATGTGGCACATTAGTGATATCATATCAGTGGTCTGATATTCATGAACTAAAACATAAAAATAGCATCAAAGACGAATCCCAACACATTAGAGGACTTTGAGGACCGTCATTTATTATGAAATTTGATTTAAGATATAAATTTAGTTGTGGAAAATATTTTATATAGGGTAATTAGTTAGGATTTTTTTTCCTTTACTTTTAGGAATTAGTTGGTACTACTTATTTTTTAAGATTTTGTTAATAATATATTTTATCTCAATTTGTTACCGTATATTTTCTGGAGTAGTTAGTTGGTATCTTGTATCCTATTTAAATGTTGTGAATATTAATGAAGGTTCACCTCTCAATCCCACTTATGTTTCTCATTCTTAACATGGTATAAAGTAGGAGAGGAGGAAGAGCAGAAGAAGAGTGACAGAGATCGGAACAGAGGACAAAGGATGAATTGGGATCACCTTCAACAAGATATATCATCCTTTTTAAGTCCACATCTCAAAATTTTAATTTTTGGTCTCTATAGCTATTGTCCCTGATTGAGAACTGCAAATAATCAATGTTTTTCCTCTGAATAATGAGATAAAGAACATATTCATTATCAAGATGTTTATGTCGAGCTATCCATATTCCATCACCATCAGGATCCAGTAATGAAATGATTAGATGATGAGCAAGCTCTCAAGTTAAAAGTCTCTCTCCATTATCACTAATAACGATCTTTGGCACATGCCCCTCATTAGAAGAATCTACCGACCCCTTTTCTTTCCAACTGCTTCTATTTGACCGTAAACTAAATCTAGAGATATCCTTGTTTGGTTTATCTTCTGAAACTTCTTTAAAGGAATCAAGAACTTGATGCTTAGAATAACTCTTGCGCATAAACCTCTCAAGTGATTCGATAGGAACATCGATCTTCATGTTCTTAAATATCAAAATTTCCTTTTTAGCGGAATCAGTCCAATCCAACTTCAAAATTTCAAAATTTTCGATGTTGATTTAACACATCCTTATTAGGTTGATTTAACACATCCTTATTAGGTTGATTTAACACATCCTTATTAGGTTGATTTAACACATCCTTATTAGGTTGATTTAACACATCCTTATTAGGTTCACCATTCTAATCAGCATGTATGTTCACGTGTTCGAAACAAATTAAATGGGACAAATTGTGAATCATATAGTAAATCATTTATGCATGAACGAAAAAGTGATCCGCTAGGATATTCACTTGTTCCACTAAAATTAAATGGGACAAATTATCGTACTGGAGTAAATCATTTATGCATGAACCAAAAAAAACCACGTTGGGAGGCAGCTCTTCGAGTTCTGATGTAACGATTCTAAATTTCTACATACTCATAGTCGCTACTAGCGTCACATGCTCATTTCTAATGCGGAAATATAACTTTTAAAAGAAACATCAGGTATAATATAAATGTCGAAAACATTTAAAACATCACATAGTATTTAAATACTAAATACTAAGATTTAGAGAAAATAAAAACAAATACAAAATAATTTAAAATGATGAAATGCAAAACAACCTATTCTAATCTAAGACTAGGAATTTAAATAAGAGTCTACCCTATGCACGTGTAACAGTCTTTACTTGCGATACCGTCGTCCTCCATACATGTGCGCCTTGCCTTTACCTAAAAAATGATGTGGCACACGGCCAGAGTATTTCGAAGAATACTCAATAAGTGGCCCCATTATAAGAGGTCATGCAAATTCAAACACATGCAATCATGCTCTTAGACCTATCTCTATTCTCTAGGGGTGGCCTCATCTCGAAAAATTGGATGTGTAGTACTTCCCTACACACGTGCGAGTGTGAATCCCCAGGGGGCTCGCACACCCCTCGACCCTCTCTAGTCAAGCTAATTTGTAGCGATGTCCGGAGGTCAGCAGAACCCCTTGGTGTCATGCTCCCCATGAATACCCTCATCATCGTACTGTGCGCGTCCACACTTATTGTCTCCAGAGAAGTATCCCTATGCTTATGGACATAAAATATGCATGAGGTCTCTCTAAATCTCATCTTATAATCTCTTCAAACACAATCTTCTAGTCTCGTCTCTTTGTTACATTAAGTAACACATGCTCATTGGATATTTATATTAATATCATTTTCATGCTCCTAAGGTTGTGTCCTATGTTAGTGTCTATCGACAAGGTGCAATATGGTTCTCATCATCATATAGCATGCTTAATATAGAAAACATCAACATATTAAGACAAACGTCATGCAATTATCATACTCATCGTATCGCCATAAAGTGCATCGAGCATACCAAGTACTACATACATCAAACTATATATATTACGCACACCATCAGGCATCATAACTCTCAAGTATCATAACTCATACATCATCATATACTCATACATTATCATATACTAATATACGACATCATACGATACAACTCATACACCATCATAACTCATACATCATCCTAGCTCATACATCATAAATTGTAGCTCATATAATTTCTAGCATATCTTATAGTAAGACCACTTACTTGGTTGGACTTAGCCAAAGTATTCCTTAATTTAATTAACGTAAGTTCCCGTTCCTTGGCAGCTGCTCCAAAGGTTGTCGAGGTTTGTTTCTTATCGCACTGTTCGTCACCTTTCATTAGTATTTTACATTTTAATTAATAATCGAACTAACAATGTGAAATATGGCTCTAAAATGGCCTCAATTACCTTAGTCGGGGCCGAAAATAGGTCCAGGAGGATCGAAACAATGGAAATCGGGTCAAAAATTAAAAATCGAGCTGAATAGTCGCCACAAGCCGCCGCCCTCCACAAGTCGTTCAAGCCGCTCAAGCCGAAGGGCTTCTTGCGTCGCGACCTAACACGTGGCAGTATCTAAGAGGGTCACGATAGCGCAGGCATTTCAGGTCAAAGCACAGGTTGATTCCGGTTTGGATTGTGGTTCGGGTTGTGTCACAGCCCAATATTTTACTACGGACAGTGACTAACGACACGACACAAATGCACAAGAGATTTAAATACGAAGTAACGAAAATCAATAAAGTTTTTCGAACGATAAACACAGAACACAAGACCGTTTGGAAAATAAATTTCAAAAGAATGCGAACACAAAAATAAAGACTAAGACTGGACTGACGCCCCGGGACAACCTATTCCTCTGTGACAGTTCCCTTCAGATCACGCCCACTCTTGACCGACACCTCACGCTCCTGAAAAAAAAAAAGGAAAACATAGCAAGGATGAGTATAAAAATTATACTCAGTAAGCCACCTACTTGTAGGCTCTCTTCGCATCTTAATTTAACAGGCTGCCACGATTTCCTATTTCGGTTCTAGGACAACTGGCTCTAATCTAGGTCCCTTGGGGCTTGCCCCTTGGGTTTCACTGATTTTTCGTTCTTTCATTAAACGTCTAGAGGTTCTTTATGCCAAGCTAATATGGTCGATATCTCTCTATGAGGTGCTACCTCTACATGGCTATTTGGGACTACATGGTACCTGGCCTAGGGGTGTGCTGAGTACCCCTACGCCCATCTAGTCCCTCTATGGGGGGCGCGACCCAACCCATTCCCATGCAGCTAATGGGCTGTACGACGTGGGGACACATTTCCCATGCGAAATGGCTAAGAGCAGTAAGGACTGATCAGGGACCCCTTGGTCCTCCCACGAAGCTATAGATACCGTTCACACGCTAGCAATCTATGAACACTCCGGGGTACCTTCTTACCGTGGTAAACCGCTAAGTTTCTAGGGAAAAATTAAGTCTGACTAGAGCGGCACATCGCTCCTAACAGAGATTCCCTAATCTTATCAAAGAAATGGGCCCTAGCAATTAATAGAGGGTGCATGCAATCTTCTTCTAACATCATAGTATGTAATTTCTGCAAACTAGGCATACCGACTCAACGGGGCGATGACCTCCATCAAGCACCCAGAGCACGAAGTTCGCGCTCAATGGGGCGAATTCGTCCATCAAGCACCCAAAACCCGGCATACACAATTCTACACATAAAATAACGCATGCATCCATACGGCGAAAGCCTAAGGCATACAAGCAACACTCATGTAATTTACCCAATTCAATCGCAACAGTTAATCTGACTAGTAATTTACATGAAGAGCTAATCTGAAGCAGAACTACTAGCATGCATGCAATCCGAGCGAATCCTACAAGTATTTCTTCCTAAATATCGGGTGGTGACTTACCTGGTTGACGCGTGCCCTTTCGCTAGCGTTTCTTTGCCCGTGAGGTGTCCAAAAATACTGATTTCTCTAAATTAAGTCCCTATTCACGTAAAAACAGTATTAGAACTGGAACTGGGACAAAAACCGGGAAAACAGAAAACAACCGGGCCAAATTGGCCGTTCCACGCGCGCTCACGCACCCAGTGTCACGGTCCTACATTCTTGACCGTGCGGCGTCGCGATCTATACACGCTCACGACCAGCCTTAAGGGAAATTAAGCCCCATTATAATTTTCGCCTCGGCTTTGTGGCTTCGTCGGGCCTTAGGCGAGGTTTGTCTTCGCTAATCGAACATCGCTTGTGCGGAATCCAAGCTTGTTCAACCACACACGCCGCCTGTGCGTGTATGTTCAATCATCTGCGACACATCCGACTTGCCTCTACGCTAAGCCAACTCATTCGGCTCGACCTTGCCTCTGCTCGGGCCAAGGTCTCTCAATACAACGTCGCATCTCGTCTTGCCATCTCGATCCCCATCGACAGGGTCCATATGTCTTGACGCCATCCCGAGTCTCGGGATGTCGTCGCCCATCATAACTCGTTCGGTCATGCCATCGAGAATGGGCCCGCGTGTCGTTCATCTCATCGGGACTTCCCGGACATCCATCCATCCGGGTTCTATTGAGGCATAGGCCCTCCCATGCCTATGCCGAGTCATTTACGGATACCGTACCGTATAGCAGGTGTATGTAGCAACCTCCAACACACGAGCTAGGGCGCAATACCGGCACACCCGTGCCGTCTGGTACTGTCCTTCAAAAACCCATTTCAAAGGAAGTCGCCCCGAGACACTCATCTCAGCACGCTCGCCCATACTGTGACACACGTATGTGCCACAGGGTAGCTCACTTAGGCCACAGGGCCCAGGGGTGGTGGAGAGCTAACACCATGGTACCCCCTATAGTACATTTTGAGCCATTTTCATTCTACCAGGAGTAGACATGATTTTCGTGAGGTGTCATACGGCGTCGTGCATTGTCCGTCCAATGTCCGATTGACACCAAACTTGGCGAGTATTCATATTTCATATGGACGGACTTAACTCCCGAACCGCATGACCAAATTCCTTCCGAAACCTCAACTTTTGAGGTTAAGGCCCGGGGCCCTACCCGACCCTTCAACAAGCCTATCTTGTCCTTCATGTCTATGCTGATGTCTCTGTTATGCTTGTGTCTCAACATGTCTTCAATGCCCACTTTGCGTGGTGGTGTGTTGGATGATGCATCGTCCTCCTCGATCGCATCATGGCATTCTTCTGCGTTGGCCCGCATATGGCCGGATGGGCGTCTCTTGAGGGACGCCCCTTTGCTTGTCATGGCGCGAGGGTCACAACCTACTCTCTTCATAGTAAGGTTGTGACACCCAGCAGCACGCTGGGAGTGCGTGGCCATGCGTGCGGGAAGGCGCCAGCCGCAGGCTACACGCGCGCCCACTTCCGCGCAGTCGCGGGTCAACCGGCCCGGCCCGGTCGGCTCAGCTCGCGTTGCGGTTCGACCAGGCTTGCAGGCGACACGTGTCGACGCCTCGCTAGAGCTGCGTTTCTCCAGCCGGTGGTCGACGCGTGTCCGGCGCCTATCGCTGCTCTCCGCCGCTCGACGGTCGTTTTTTTTTTTTTTTTTTTTTTTTNTTTTTTTTTTTTTTTTTTTTTTTTTTTTTTTTTTTTTTTTTTTTTTTTTTTTTGCGTTACAAATTCTCCCCTCCTTGGGAACTTTCGTCCCCGGAAGTAGCTATCCCTTGGAAGAGTTCGGGATAAGCTTTCTTCACGTCCTCTTCTCGTTCCTAGGTTGCCTCTTCCTCACGGCGGTTACCCCATGAGACCTTTACCAAGGGAATATCTTTGTTTCGCAACCGCCTAGTGTCTCGAGCCAAAATCCTGCTAGGCTACTCCTCGTAAGACAGATCTTCTCGAAGAGGAAGCATCCCATGCTCGATTACATGAGTAGGGTCGGGAGTATACTTTCGCAGCATGGATACGTGGAACACATTGTGCACGGCGGCAAGGTTCGGTGGTAGCGCAATTTTGTAAGCCACAACCCCGACTCTGTCCAGAATCTCGAAGAGGCCTATGAACCTTGGGCTCAATTTCCCTTTCTTCCCGAACCTCAACACCCCCCTCATAGGGGCCACCTTCAGGAACATGTGGTCACCCACCTCAAATTCGAGGTCCCTTCTATGCACATCTGCATAGCTTTTATGTCGACTCTGTGCGGTGAGTATCCTCTGTTTGATTTTCTGCACCGCTGTGTTGGTGACCTGGACCAACTCTGGTCCCAGTAGTTGCTGCGTGCCTACCTCTTCCCAAAATACTGGTGTTCGACACCTACGCCCATACAGTGCCTCGAAGGGGGCCATCTGAATGGTCGCTTGATAACTATTGTTGTAGGCAAACTTCATTAAAGGCAGATGTTCGTCCCAGCACCCAGCGAAATCTAAGGAGCAGGCTCGCAACATGTCCTCTAAAATCTGATTCAGCCTTTCGGTCTGTCCGTCCGTTTGAGGATGGAATGTTGTACTGAACCTCAACTGAGTTCCTAGTGCCTTCTGAAGACTCCTCCAGAACTGAGAGGTGAATCTGGTGTCCCGGTCTGATACTATGGACACTGGTACCCCGTGCAGGCGTACTATCTCCTTGATATATAACTGAGCCCACCGATCTACTCGATATGTGGACTTTCCTGGAATGAAGTGGGTTGTCTTAGTCAGTCTGTCTACAATTACCGAGATGACGTTGAAACCCTGCTTTGTCTTTGGCAAACCCGAAACGAAATCCATACAGACTGCTTCCCATTTCCACTGAGGGACGCTCAGGGGCTGTAGCAATCCTGCTGGGCGCTGCCTCGGGGCCTTCACCTGCTGGCAGGTCAAGCAACGGCTCACGAAATCTGCTATGTCCCTCTTCATTCCAGACCACCAGTAAAACCTTTTCAGATCCTGATACATCTTTGTACTTCCAGGGTGGAACACATAAGATGTATCGTGGGCTTCGGTCATAATATCTTTTAAGATTCCCTCGTCTCAGGGAACGCACAGGCAGTTTTGCCATAGCAGACCCCCGTCTGAGGAGATAGAATACCCTACTAGCCTCTCTGTCTCAGTCTGACTCCACACTTTCCTGAGGTGTTCATCAGACCTCTGAGCGTCGATAACTTTCTTTCGTAGGGTGGGCTGTATAGTTAACTGTGCCATCTGAACATTACCACCTTTAACCACCACGTCTATCCCAGCCCTCTTCATCTCATCTTGTAGTTTTTCCTGTGTGGTGATCATCGCAGAAGTATGCACGGCCTTCCTGCTCAATGCATCAGCTACCACGTTGGCTTTGCCTGGATTGTACAGAATCTCTATGTCATAATCCTTTACCAGCTCCAACCATCGCCTTTGTCTCATATTGAGCTCCTTCTGCGTGAATAAGTACTTAAGGCTCTTATGATCAGTGAAGACTTGTACTTTTTCCCCATACAGATAGTGCCGCCACGTTTTTAGAGAAAATACTACCGCTGCTAACTCGAGATCATGCGTGGGGTAGTTTCGTTCATATTCTTTCAATTGTCGAGAAGCATACGCTATCACCTTACCTTTCTGCATGAGCACACACCCCAAGCCTTTCCCTGATGCATCACTATACACCACGAGATTACCTGACCCGTCTAGAACTGTAAGGACTGGTGCAATTACCAACCTCTTCTTGAGTTCCTGGAAACTCTGTTCGCAGACTGGAGTCCAAGCAAAGGGCTTGCCCTTCTTGGTTAGCTGAGTCAGCGCCGAGGAAATTTTGGAGAAATCCTAAACAAACCTTCTATAATAACCAGCTAGCCCAAGAAAACTCCTCACCTCTGTGACTGTGGTCGGCTGTGGCCACCTCATCACTGCTTCTATCTTAGCTGGGTCCACTATGATCCCCTTGCTTGACACCACGTGACCCAGAAACGCAACTTCAGACAACCAAAACTCACACTTATAGAACTTGGCATACAATTGTTGAGCTCTCAGTATTGTCAAGACTTTTCTGAGGTGTATTTCATGATCTGCCTCTGACTTAGAGTATACCAGAATGTCGTCGATGAACACTATGACAAAGGTGTCTAAGAATTCCTTAAACACCCTGTTCATTAGTTCCATGAAAACGACTGGTGCATTGGTAAGGCCAAAGGACATAACGAGAAACTCGTAATGCCCATAACGACTTCTGAAGGCTGTCTTGGGTATATCCCCTTCTCTGACCCTCAACTGATGATACCCCGACCTTAGGTCAATTTTGGAGAAAACTGTTGCTCCCTGTAGCTGATCAAACAGGTCGTCAATTCTCGGGAGAGGGTACTTATTCTTTATAGTGACCTTGTTTAATTCTCTGTAATCAATACACATCCGCATGGACTCGTCCTTCTTCTTGACAAACAGAACAGGGGCTCCCCTGGGTGATACACTGGGTCGGATGAAACCCTTATCCAACAACTCCTGTAACTGTCCCTTCAATTCCCTGAGTTCTGCAGGTGCCATCCTGTAAGGTGCCTTGGAGATCAGCAATAGGATCCATCTTGCCTCCGTCAAAGGAAGGCGGTTTATGCCTCTGGAAATCCCTCAAGTAGCGGGACTCCACAGTCATAGTCCCTGAATCCTTGCCCCCTTACCCTGTTGACTGATTAGACATCATGGTCTGAATCATCTGGTTTGTCAGAGCCTGATTTTCCATCGACGTCATCATGAACGTCTGAAACATTCTCAGCTGAGGGCATGACTAATGGCTGGTTTAGTGGGACTGCTGTACACGGGGTTGGACCCGATGGGGCCTCCTCGGAGAAGGGAGTGGTAGGGGGTGTCTCAAATAGCCTTCGGGCCTTGGCCTTCATTCGGCGTCTTTTTTATCTTGATGGCTGTGGTACTGTCCCCTCGCTAGTTTGGGGCATATCCCCATCCTCCTCCTGAAGTTCAGGTTGTTCCTCTTCAGGTGTTGGAACCGAGGTGTCCTGAACTTCCTCTCTTCTTCCCCTTCTAGGTCCTGGCCCTACATATGGTTCGCGTCTCTTTGGTGCCATTATCTACCACAATAACAAAGAACTATGGTCACAATTCATTCACAACACATCTCCTAGGTAATGTGCGATATAATGCCATAGTCAGTCATGGTATGCTCTATAAATACTAACTTAACCTTTGTCTCTATGTTTCCGTCGCGTGAGAACGTCTGGTCGTGAGCGGCATGTGATTGACGAGCGAAGTCACAAAGGACACGACTCTATATCCTAAATGTCTACAGGACCTATAACCTGACTGCTCTGATACCAAATTTGTCACAGCCCAATATTTTACTACGGACAGTGACTAACGACACGACACAAATGCACAAGAGATTTAAATACGAAGTAACGGAAATCAATAAAGTTTTTTTAACGATAAACACAGAACACAAGACCGTTTGGAAAATAAATTTCAAAAGAATGCAAACACAAAAATAAAGACTAAGACTGGACTGACGCCCCGAGACAACCTATTCCTCTGTGACACTTCCCTTCAGATCACGCCCACTCTTGACCGACGCCTCGTGCTCCTGAAAAAAAAAAAAGGAAAACATAGCAAAGATGAGTATAAAAATTATACTCAGTAAGCCACCTACTTGTAGGCTCTCTTCGCATCTTAATTTAACAGGTTGCCACTGTTTTCTATTTCGGTTCTAGGACAACTGGCTCTAATCTAGGTCCCTTGGGGCTTGCCCCTTGGGTTTCACTGATTTTTCGTTCTTTCATTAAACGTCTAGAGGTTCTTTATGCCAAGCTAATATGGTCGGTATCTCTCTATGAGGTGCTACCTTTACATGGCTATTTGGGACTACATGGTACCGGCCTAGGGGTGTGCTGAGTACCCCTACGCCCATCTAGTCCCTCTATGGGGGGCGCGACCCAACCCGTTCCCATGCAGCTAATGGGTTGTACGACGTGGGGACACATTTCCCATGCGAAATGGCTAAGAGCAGTAAGGACTAATCAGGGACCCATTGGTTCTCCCACGAAGCTATAGATATCGTTCACACGCTAGCAATCTATGAACACTCCGGGGTACCTTCTTACCGTGGTAAACCGTTAAGTTTCTAGGGAAAAATTAAGTCTGGCTAGAGCGGCACATCGCTCCTAACAGAGATTCCCTAATCTTATCTAAGAAATGGGCCCTAGCAATTAACAGAGGGTGCATGCAATCTTCTTCTAACATCATAGTATGTAATTCCTGCAAACTAGGCATACCGACTCAACGGGGCGATGACCTCCATCAAGCACCCAGAGCACGAAGTTCGCGCTCAATGGGGCGAATTCGTCCATCAAGCACCCAAAACCCGGCATACACAATTCTACACATAAAATAACGCATGCATCCATACGGCGGAAGCCTAAGGCATACAAGCAACACTCATGTAATTTACCCAATTCAATCGTAACAGTTAATCTGACTAATAATATACATGAAGAGCTAATCTGAAGCAGAACTACTAGCATGCATGCAATCCGAGCGAATCCTACAAGTATTTCTTCCTAAATACCGGGTGGTGACTTACCTGGTTGACGCGTGCCCTTTCGCTAGCGTTTCTTTGCCCGTGAGGTGTCCAAAAATACTGATTTCTCTAAATTAAGTCCCTATTCACGTAAAAATAGTATTAGAACTGGAACCGGGACAAAAATCGAGAAAATAGAAAACAACCGGGCCAAATTGGCCGTTCCACGCGCGCTCACTCGCCCAGCAGCACGCTGGGAGTGCGTGGCCATGCGCGCGGGAAGGCGCCAGCCGCAGGCTGCACGCGCGCCCACTTCCGCGCAGTCGCGGGTCGGCCGACCCGGCCCGGCCCGATCGGCTCGGCTCGCGTTGCGGTTCGGCCAGGCTTGTAGGCGACACGTGTCGACGCCTCGCTGGAGCTGCGTTGCTGCAGCTGGTGGTCGACGCGTGTCCGGCGCCTGTCGCCTTCCTCCGCCGCTCGCCGGCCGTTTTTTTTTTTTTTTTTTTTTCTTCTTCTTCTTCTTCCCTGTCCCCTGAAAACCGAAACCCAGTCGGTTTTTGTTTTCCGATTTTCATATCTTTCGATCCGTAGATCGGATCGATATGATTCCTTCGGCAACGTTCTAGATCGTGTTACAGGCTACGTCCTAGTATTCTTTTTGTAATTTTTTCTTGACTATCGGAGGATTTAAGAACGCCGGAAGTTCGCTCACCGTTCTCGGATGACTCTCGGATCTCCGCCTTTGGGTTGAGGTCTCGGCCAAACTTCTTCACAGACCGTGCGTGAGTTGTTCCTAGGTGAAGATTTCAACATTTTAGGGTCGATTCACGTAGGGAAAAACTCAGATCTGAGCAATATCGTTCAGAAACCTTACCTCGCGAAATGTTCTTAGGTTTTGATGGAGCGTCGGCCTTGCTAGCCTCTCAATCCTGGTACTAGTCTCGTTTGGAGATGGATTCCGGCGGCGGTCCGTTAATCTTCCCGGTCGACTCCTCACTAACTTCTCTCTAACTTCTTCTTTCTTTTGCAGGCAATCTGGCTGGGTTTTCCTTGGACCCCTATTTGGGTTGGAGGGGCAAAATGACATTTTTGCCCCTCAGTTGACTTAGCTTTTTTTTTTTTTTTTTTTTTTTTTTTTTTTTTTTTTTTTTTTTTTTTTTTTTTTGCGTTNCAGGTTGGCTCGCGGGTCGTTAGTTGAAGGTGAGCCACTGGGCTGTAGGTCGATGTATTTTGCCTGAGCAACTAACGCTAGTGAGAATAGGAAGAAAATAACAAAAAAAACACAAGAGAGACCGAAGACATATTTAGATTATGCTGAATACTGAATACTAGTGATTTATTTCTGATTATATTGGCATATTTAAATAACAATTCTACTTTGAAAATGGATAGGAGTGGCAACTCAATTAACTTCATTGGACCGGATGTGGTCATTCCACTCAACTTAATTTTGTGATTTAACTTTAAAATAGGGATTTATCTAACAATGAGCTTGGGCCTCCGGCTACTGGACCGAAAAGGGTTGTGGGCAGAGGGAACTTGGGCTGGGCTGCTGGATTGGGTTCTCGAGTATCCTGTTCGGGTTCTTGGGTTGGTTCGTGGGTCGTAGCGCGGGTTTCAGAACGAGCTGGACGAAGGTGAGTTTGGACCTCGAGCTTGGGCCGCTATAGGTTTGGCTGAGCCGAGCGGTTTTTAGGCCTCGGGTCACGGATAGATTCGAATCAGATCCGTTAGATCTCTTCTTCCTTACCCGACTTCCTATGCGACTTTGTGGCGACATTTATCTCTTCTTTGTTCGTCATTTCTAATGCTGATTTCTGTCCTTTTCCTTCTTCTCCCTCTCTGTTTGTCTTCCCTCCTTCCTTTCTTGGAGTTTCGTGGCTTGAAACGACCTATAATCACATATCTATGGGTGTTTAGAAAATCTGAAATCTCGACCTCGTTTCTCGACGATGGCTCATATGAAAATGGCACAAAACGTACCTTGGGTTGTTGTACAGTGTTGGGGGTCTCTTTCACAATGTAACTTGGTGTTTTGACGTCGGTTTTGGGTTGTTTCGTTCATGGGTTTCGTTTTCGGATCCTCGCTTGAAAACTTCGCCAACTTCTCTATCCCTCTTTCCTCTATGTTTTTCTTATGCAAGTGTTTTGGGAGCGTGCCGAGGACATAGATGGTGTTTGGCTGGAGATTTGGGTGAGTTGTGGGGGCCGGGGACGTGATTCCTTGACCCCCATGAAATTTCCGGTGTCACCGAAAAACTCGCGGGTTTTCAGATGACTAGATTTTTTTTCTTTTTTCTTTTTCTTTGTTTTTTTATTTGTGATCCATTACATATGATATACATAAAAGGTTTTGCATCTTCCTACAATAATTCCTGGGAAGTCTAAAAAAACAAACCAACCTGTCCAAATCTTCTGAATTTTACAGACCAATGTGTCCAAATTATATGAGTTTTGCATATTATTCTTGGAAGTCTAAAAAGCAAACCAATGGCCACAGATATCAACCAATACTTGTTCAGAATTAACTTGACACGATGTTTTCACTAAAGCTATGTAAAGACAATAATTTAATTTATTTCTAAAACACAAGTTGAATGTAATTAACATATACTTAAGTGAGTTATGAAATTTGATTTGAGATATAAAGTTACGTTGAATATATTTTATATAGCTATAATTAATTAAGATTTTTTTCCTTGTTTTTTAGGAATGGGTTGATAGTACATCTTATCTCATTTTCAAAATTTAATTAGTAGTATATTTGGTATATTTTATCTTATTTTTCAATCCCAATTTTGCTTTTCTTTCTTAACGGAATCTTGACCGTGAGCTAGAGTGGCTGGAGTTTGGTCCCGGAATGAGTTGGGTTTAGAATATTCAAGAATTTGGGAGTTGGGATCAATGATTGTAGCTTAATTTTGAGGAGCTTAGACACTTTTGTCTCTCTCCCAGTGTATCACGGGAGTTGGAGGGAGTTGGTGGAGTGGAGAATAGGTAAGAGATCTATGGTCATTCCGTAAAATATTAATATTCAACTAACAAATTTATAAAGAGCGATTAAATGTTCTATGACTAAGTTTTATACAAACTTATTATATAGGATACATCACGTATCTCTACCTAATGATGTAGATTTGGATAAATAATTTGTTTGAATAATTATATAAATTTTTTAAAATATCTAAACATGTAATTTTAAATTTTTAGAAGGGTTTAATAAATAAATAAATAAAATGTTTTGTTTTTTCGAATTTTTTGTTTTATGATATTTTAAAAAAATTTATGAATTTATTATTATACACCAAATTAAAAAAATTAAAAAACTTATATTTGGAAAGAAAGGTAGAAGCATGGAATTGGATATTTGATGTGTTTGGTGGTGCGAAAAAAAATCAATCCAAAAAGGGGGACACGTGTCGGACAAAGAGGGAAGGTGTACAGAAGCCGCGGGTAAGATTAGAAAAAGAAAAAAAAAAAAAAAAAAAACTTGANTCGATTAAGTTGGAGGGTATTATTGGAATTTTGGGAATTTTTTTTTAATATATTTTTTAATTAATTTAGTTTTTTTCTTTAAAAAAAGAAAAAAAAAAAAAAAAAAAGGAACGTCCACTTGGTATGAGCGGACAAATTGAGGTTTCCAGCTGGATGAAGGCGTAGGGCGACCCCTTTTAATTGAGTGAGCTGGGTCCCACCTTCACACGTGGCCACGTCATTTTTTCTTACTTTTTTTTTTTTTCTTTTTTAAATAAATATATAATATACATGTATTAAAGAGACAGCAAACCAACAACAATTTGTTTTGCCCCTTCAGAAAATGGAAAGAGAAAAAACAAAATTGAGATTCCTTTACCAATACAGTTTCTTATTTATTATTTATTTAATTATATTATTTATGTTTATATTGTATTTGGTATATAATTATGTATATCAAATACTGTTTAGAATATCAATGATTGGGGATTTGATTTCTTCTTCCACAATCTCCATAACATTGTCTCCAATATAATATTTCTTTTATTTATTTATAATAATAATAAATAATAATAATAATAATAATAATAATAGTATTTGGGGATCAATATTCTGAAAGGAATTGACTTTTTATGTAATTCATGATTGATCCTAACTTATACAAAATGCTAATTGTTGGCATTATCTTTATTTTATTTTATTTTATTTTTTATTAACCAACCACCCATTTCAAATCAATTCTTAGTTGCTTCTTTTATTTAAGATCACCATCTGCTTTCCATATTTTGCAAATCACTCCCTCTATTTTTCTTTTCTTTTTTTTTTCTTTTTTTTTCAAACAAAGAAAAAATTATGTTTATTTATAATTGGAAGTATATGAATGGACTGAGACCACATTTTATTGAGAGTGATTCGGAAGGAAATGAAAGTTATTATCTATACTCATAAGGTACACCTCTTTTCAGTTGCTCAATTATCGAAATTTCATTGTAATTCTATGTTGGATGTTCTCTCATAATTTTTCTTTTGAGATCGAATTTATAATATAATATATTGTTTTGTTTTAAATCTAACCCCATTTATTTAATTATATGGTTTGAACTCTACGTAAAAATATATCTTATCGATCTAAAGATATTATACTTATATATTTAAAATATTCTTAGCGTTTTAATGAAATTAGTAGATTTAACAACAATCCAACTAACAATATAAGTTTATTTATATATTTCTAAAATTATAGGAATCTTAAGAAAAAAAAAATTTAAAAAGACAGAACTATTATAACGATACTAGTTTTCTAGTAATCTAAAGTTGTTACCATATTTCATTATTTAATTTTTTATGTGGGAATATTAATTTAAAATGACTTCATAAAACAATGTCATAGACTTACGTGTTTAAGAAAATGTCGTAATACAAAGAAAATATTAAAATAAACACAAGTAAATAGTGTCCTATATTAACGGAAGATATATGAAATTAAATCCAACTATCCTATGCAAATTTCACTATCTTTATTTGTGATGTTACTATCAACGTACATGAGTATTTTGCCTTTATCTAAAATATAAAAGTAGCACATGACTTGAGTATTTTAAGAAATAGTTAATAAGTGACCCATCATTGGAGTCGGGAAATGCAAATACATGCAAATAATAATTAGGGACTTATCATTTAAAACCATCATAGAGGTGATCTTCGGTCTGAAAAAATTAGATGTGTAGTACTTCCCTATACACAACACACACGTGCGAGCGTGGGCCCACCAGGTTAGTTCGCACATCCCCTGGGTTTGCATGGTCGGGCTAGTTGGTTGTAGTCGAACATCTGGATGTACAACAAACCCTCGTATATCATGCAAAACATGATGATGATCATCATCATCATAGTGTACGCGTCTGTACTCGTCATAAGAGGGGAAGTATTCAAATGTAAATGAACATACAATATGCATGAAGTTCCTATGCTTTTCATCTTAAATCATTCATGCGACACAACCCCCCACATCCTTTACATATTACCCCAGGTAACATGCATACATAAACTTCATATATTCATCATTCATAACATCACTTAGGGGTTGGGTATAAGAAAACTCTTCATCGTCATAGTGTAACAAGACATCCCATACATACACATCATCGTAACATGAGATATTATTATACTATGACATGTCTCATCTTACCTCACATGTCATCATATCATAATACATCATCATCATAACATATCATAGCATTATAGTACATCACATCACTATAATACTGAGAGTATTTTAAAAAAATATTCTTCAATTTTAAAAAAATTGATCAATACTATAGAATTAAAAAAAAAAATTACATTTATCGTAAATATATGAAGTATCACGTTTAAAAAATACGTAGAAACATTCCAAAATATCATTAATATTGAATAGATTATCGTTATGTTTTGTGAATATCAATCAAAATTTTAAAAGGTATTAAGAGTTTAAGTTTGAAAACTATTTTTAATTTTTTTAAAAAGTTGGTGTTATTGAAAATTACTTTGGGGAGGAAAATAGAAATATGTAGAGAGGAAGGACTATATTGCAATAGAGTCGAAGCAAAGGGACTGAAATGTAAAATTAAAAAAAAAAAAAAAAAAAAAAAAAAA